CAGGCTGTTGTGCTCCTTGGCAAACATCGCACTTACCTTGGTGCGAACCTCAATGTGAGCTCCCCGGTCAAGCAGCAACCGCACCATTATGATGTTGCCGCGTCGAGAGGCGATATGCAGTGGGGTGATGCCATTCTGTGGGGGCAGGGGGAAAGAAATGAAGTGAATGTCAGGCCTGCAGCCATCTTTTCTTTTGGATCTTTGGCCTGCCACACTTTCTATTATTCTGCTATGCATTTTCTATTGTGGGAAAATGGGAGGGGTAATTGTATGGAGTTAGATGATATGTAGCCATAAAAATATTCTTTCTAGAAAGCCAAGGTCATCCTTTGTCTCTGCACCTCTGCACCTGGCTGAAACAGGTGGACTTGTGGGTGTGGGGGCAAGATGGGTGGGGAAATCTGGGAAGCTTTCAGATTCGGGTTTTCCCAGATGTGCCAACATGGCTCTCTTAATAAATGGGAACTTTGAGCAATCCTTTGCCTCGGACTCTGATTTACTTTTGAATGCTATTTGGAACCCTGACACTTGTGAATTTCAACTCCCATAATTCTGGCTGGGGAGTTCTGGGAGCTGAAGTCCCCAAGTCTTAAAGTGGCCATGTTTGGAGACTCCTGATCTAGGACCAGGCTCTGCTGGAGTCAAAACTGGAGAAGAAGAGGTAGTTCTCTTCTCATCATCTTTCAAGATGGTTAAGGAATTGGTGGCCTCCCGGAGGCTCAAGGAAACCCTCCGGAACCTGGGGAGGGCAAAAACTGGGCACACCCACCCAGCAATAATATAGAGAACCAGTTGCTAAAATGTTTGAACCCCACCCCTGCTACAAATGTTCTCCTTCATCAATAAAGTAGTTAGCTTGACCTCTCCACACCCTTGGCAATTTGAAAGTGAACGGACTTCAACTGCCAGAATTCTCAGCAATTCTCTGCTGGCTGTGGAATTCTGGGAATTGAAGTCCCTATATACCTGGAAATTGCTACAGTTAGGAAACTCTTGGCTTGGGCTCTGCACCTACCTGGGGGGTGAAATTGACACTTGCTCCACGGTTGAGTAGAAGCTGGGCCACGTTGAGATTCTCGTAATGTGCTGCGATGTGAAGAGGGGTGAAGCCAGTCTGTAGAAGAAGAAGGAAGGGGAAACAGTCAAATACCCTAGGACAGTGATGGTGAACCTTTTTCTTATGGCATGCCAAAATTGTCTGTGTGTGTGCCTTGCAAGTACTGCCCACACCAATTCAATCCTCCCTGCCCACTGTGGATGCATGCACAACCCCTCCCCAGGCCCTGGAGGCTTTGCCTAAAGCCTGGGGTGGGTGAAAACAACCTCCCCTGCCCTCCCTAGAGATCCTCTAGAAGCCGGAAACGGATCATTTCCGAACTTCTGGTTGGCCTGTTGGGGCCGTTTTTCGCCCTCCCCAGTCTCTGGAGGCTTTCCTGAAGCCTGGAGAGGGCGAAAAATGGCACCAACAAGCCAACTGGAAGTTCGAGAACAAACTTCCAGTTGGCCCGTTGGGCCTATTTTTTGGCCTCCCTAGCCTCCGGAGGCTTTCCCGAAGCCTGGAGAAAGCAAAAACAGCATCCCCGACCCTCTAGAAGGCCGAAAATCAGCTGGTGGGCACGCATACCGGAGCTGATGGCTGACGTGTCAGCAAATATGGCTCCACGTGACATCTGTGGCATGCGTGCCATAGGTTCGCCATCATGGCCCTAGGATCTCAGCCAGTAAGAAATACAGGGTGGATTCCCACATTGTCATCTTGCTCAACACAAGGACATCTCATTCACTCCATGCTGAACCAGCTCTCGCTATTTTGGAGCATTAAGTGCTAAATGGTTTCCTTTACTAGTAGCTATTTTACCCAAGAGATTGATGTGCACTTCTGAGGCATCCCATAAAGATAATCGACCACAGGCAATCCTCAACGTATGGCCACAATTTCCTTTGCCAATCTAGGTAGTTGTTAAATGAGCCATCCTCCATTTTTATGACCTTTTTGTGATGGTTATGTAGCAAATCACTGCCATTTTCAAAGCGAATCCCATGTCATTAAGTGAATCAGGCTTGCCACATTATCTTTGCTTGTCAGAAGCTAACAGAGAAGATGTAAAATGCTAATCACATGACCCCAGAACACTGCAACCATTGCAAATACATGCGAGTTATCAACGGCCTGAATTTTAATCCTGTGACTGCCAAAATGCTATAAGGGTTATTGTTATGGCCCGCCAGCTACCAGCAGAGCTGGCGGCAGACTCGGATGATGAGGAGGTTGGGGAGAAACCTGGGCTGGTCCTGGAGTCTGGGGAAGGCTCTGATGAATGCTCTGCATCAGAAGCAGAGATGTGGCCAGGGGTGTCCGGCATTTCCCAGCTGCCTTTGGAGATAAGTGGGGAAGAAGAACAGCTGGGGCCTGTTCCAGATACGCGTATGCGCAGACCTGTTAGGAGAGGATAACAACTGAAGACAAGGGGCCAATTCAGGAAGAAAGGCACATATGGAGGTTGAATGGCTCCTCCCTGGCTGGGGAATAAATAGAAGCAAAAGTGGAGTGGTGGTTGTAGAAGACAACAATTCATATTTCTGCCAGAAGATTTGCTTATTGTGGTTCGTGTCTCAGAGACTTCTTGCCAGGAATTAATTTCCAGCTTTGCGACTCAAAGCTCCCGGCCTGGCAATTATCCAAGGACTGATAAGGTATGATTGTAATTAACCCTTGCAAGTATTATTGCCTGGACATTTCTGTGGATGAATGCCATGAATTCACAGTAACTAAATAAACAGGAGTTTTTCAGAACAAGGAATCTGTTTCTTGGTTCTTCCAAGGCTGGGTCAGAACAGTTATAAGTGCAAGGACCAGACATAAGTCCATGTTTTGGTGCCGTTGTAACTTTGAACAGTTGCTAAATGAATGGTTTTTACGTTGAAGATTACCTATACATTAAATTTCACACTATGAATCCTCTTTTTGGATGCATCTATAGGTATATCAATATATGCAAAACAGCTGACCTTGGAAAGGACATCGGCGTTGGGGTCGTTTTGCAAAAGCACGGCAGCTGTTCGCGTGTCATCGTTACGGGCGGCTATGTGTAATGCTGGGAGGCGCACCTTCCCCTTCGTCCCGTAGTTAATCAGGTGGGCCACCACGTTTTCGTGGCCCTGCTGCAGAGCCACTGCCAAGGGGGTAAAACCATCCTGCCAGAGATTGAAGAAAGGAAAGCAAAAAGTAAGAAAATGGGGAGAGACCAACCATTTCATTAACTTAACATCTGTTTCCTGACATTCCTTGAAGGCAAGAGGGAGCATCCTGGCCCTTCAGCCCTTGTTTATAAGGACCAAAGCACCATAATTCTGGAGACAAAAATTTAGGTACATCATGCAAAGATAGGAACAGGGTGAGAAGAACTGTGTGTTTTCCTTGCCCTTCCTCAAGAGCTGATGTGTTTGTTGGACAAAAACTTATACGTAGGAAGGTATGAAGAGGAGGGCCCACTTATTTAAACACAACATCCGCAAACATGCTTCTCAGAGCCAAAACATGGAAACAAGGATAAAAATCTCAGCAGGAAGAGGAGAAGAGGGGCTGATGTCGCAACGACATGACATGCGATCTTGGAGCTCCAAGATCGCAGTCGATATTTCTGCCGCTGGACAGTCCTTTTGGACCTAAACCATCCCACAAAGATTGTGATAGAGAAGAGTACGTCCTGCTGATCTCAGGGACACCGCAAAGTCCCTGATTGATCTAGGAGAAGCTCTTATTTCCGATGACAGAAATGCAGCCATTGAAGCTGCTGAAGTTTGGTTCAGCTCCGGAACAGAAACAAAGCGGAAAGAGAAAGTGTGTTGAATTAGTGAGGAAATTTTATTATTAGAAAAGAGACTACCCCCCAAAAAATTAAAGCTAAATTAAAATTTTATTATTAGAAAAGAGACTACCCCCCCAAAAATAAAAGCTAAATTAAAATTTTATTATTAGAAAAGAGACTACCCCCCCAAAAAATTAAAGCTAAATTAAAATTGA